ACAACATCATGGGCCGAAGGGTCTGTACTGTGCTGTATTGTGCTATATTCTATGTTCTATGTTCACCCCAGCGCCCCCAGAATAGTAACCATGTGTGGCCTCAGCATGATTATCACCATCAACTATACCTGTGCTGCCATCCCTCTGCCACTGCTTCACCGCCATTGATACCGGATCCAACTAATGTTGAAGTCTCCAGTCCTCAGGCACCACCTTTCACCGCTGGGCCTGCCTCGCCAACGTCACCAACGTAGCAGCTGCTGATTCAGATGCCAGGCCCTGTTCTTGCCCTGGGAAAAGTCTAAGGTCTCACTCAAGATCCATGCCAGCCCCATGCCATCTCCTCCACACTGGGCCTGCTCGAGGGCTGTGCAGAGTGCAGGCATGTCCTGTGAGTGAATTGCAAATGTGCCATGAGGATGCAGAGAAGTTGTTGACTGTCAGATGCCAACATCTGTGCATATGAAGTGCATGAGGATGATGTCTGTGGAGTGTACCCTGAGATGTTGGCACCAGGTGTCCAAGATAGAGATCCAGAGGAGAAAACGGTGAGTGGGAATCATCAGGTATCTGCTCTGACTTTCACATAAGGAATTCTTGGCATGCAGTTTCTATCTGGTGGGTGGTGGAGTGGGAAGCTGACTATATATGAAGCAAGATTAGGTAATATGGAAGATGATAATGAGTGATGGGAGGTCCGTGAATGGGTATTATTGCTCATTACCAAGAATCTTGTTCACAATTCAGTTGGAAGATGTGACTTGTTGCTCAAGACTTCAAGAAAGGTCATACTAGACTTCTGCCACATTCTCCAACCATAGCCCATGTTGTTCAAGGCCTGGAAGAGCTCACCGTTGAATTGATGGCCTGTTTTACATTTCTTCGACTGACGTTTACAGAAATAAACGATGCACCTCATAAATTAAATATCATATCCACAAAACAATACAGTCAAAAACTGTACCTTATTTGTTACATATCATTTTGTTACATTGCAAGACAGAATAAAATTAATCAAATGATATTTGTTTCTTGGAAATAATTTGTATACCAGAAGTTGTTGTTTATATATCGAGAGGACTGGAATATAAAGATGCAGATGTTATGCTGCAGTTATACAAAATCCTGTTAGACCCCACCTGGAGTACTGTGAGCAGATCTGGGCACTACGCCTCAGGGCGGGTATAATGGTCTTGGAGGGAGTACAACAAAAGTTTATAAGAATAGTACCTGGACTTCAGGGGCCAAGTTATGAGGTGAGATTTTACAGGCCAGTTTTCACTATAATTTAAATGATTGAAGGTGATCTTATCAAAGTCTTCAAGATATTAACGGGAAAAGACAGGTTAGATAAAGATAAACTAGTTACATTGGTTGGAGATTCTAGAACGAGGGGACATACTCTGAGAATTAGGGCTGGACCGTTCAGGAGAGATGTTAGGAAGCACTTCCACACAGAAAAGGTGGCAGACTTTTGGAACTCCCTTCTGCAAATGGTGGTTAATGCCAGATCAGTTCACAGAATCAGAGACTTCCCACAGTGCAGATAGAGGCGATTTGGACCATCACTTCTGCACCGACCCACAGAAGAGCATCCACCCTAACCATGTAACCTCGTATTTACCATGGTTTTAGTTATAGTTGTTAATTTTAAATGTGAGTTGGATCTTTTTTGTTAAACAAAGATATTAAGGGATATGGGCCAAAGACCACATGGAGTTAGGCCACAGATCAACCATGATCTCATCGAATGGCAGAATAGACTCGAAGGGCCGAATGGCCTACTCCTGTTCCTGTATTCTTATATATTCATGCAACTGGGAAAACATTGATCATGCTAAAGCATTTTAAGAGTTTAATTTACACATATCAAAATACTGAAAAATAAGTTCTCTGAAATTCTCAAGATTACTGAAAGATTCAAGGAAACAGACTGGAACTGCAGCCAGCTTTTATGATGATGGTTTTGTCGCTGAACAAAGTAACAGTTCCCAGGTTAAACACCAGAGGGCATTCTTTGCCAGCAATGCTACAGCTGTAATGTTGCCTATTACTGCAATTTATAAATATTGTACTGTGAGTGAAATGTCTATCGAAGTACTAATTTTTCTCAAAAATCATAGAAATACATTTTAATAGCTGTAAGTACGTTGTTAAATATTTCCTTCCTCTCCAGCCTTTTAATCTTTAAATCTCTCACTCCCTCCTTACATTCTATGCTATTCCCAATTTGCACAGATTGGAAATCAATGTTGTTGGTTGGATTTCCTTCGGATTCTTTATTCTGTGCCTTACAGACTCAACGGATGCCATGGTTTAATTCCTTCCTTTGTCAAGCATCCCAGGGAATCAAATCTCATGGGGATATGTGGGAAACTGGAGGAGAGGTGAAAGATAAACCATGATTTTGCTGAGCAGACTCAAAGAGTCATTGGTTAAGCTGAGCCTATCTCTTCAGATTTTCAACAGAGTAGGAACTTGCTGAATGGATTATATAACAGGAACAGATCATTCATTTGTTCTATTCTGCCTATAGTATTCATAGGCAGTTGCATAGGCACACCAAGGCTACTTGTAAGCTGTTTGGGCACTTGTTCTATCATTCAATGAAATCATGGGCTGCATTTTAGAGGTGGGTAGACTGTTCACCTCTGCCAGCTTCAGCAGTCCTGAGAATACCAGACCTCACTAGAGCACATTGCCGGGACTTTAGGAAGAAACATTAGAATGGTCAGGCGCATTCAGAAAGGTAAGTCTCAGGGTTTTAGAGTGGGGATGATTGTGAGAATCCAGGGTGAGAGATTGGTGGGGGGGGGACAGTTTGTTTTGGAGGTCCATTTTAACACCCCCTCCCACTCCCTGGGTGACATGTCCATCCTGGGCCACAGTGACACCACCCGCAAACTGGTGGAGCAACATCTCATATTCCGCCTCGGGAACCTACGGCTCGATGGCCGAAACATGGAATTCACTGGTTTTAAAATCTCCCCACCCCCAGCCACATCTCATGTCCAACCCTCCCTCTCATTCCCGCCTCCATGACCTGACATAACCTGTCCATCTTCTCTCACATCTATCTGCCCCTCCCACCTCACTGACCAATCCCCACCAGTCCCTACCTGCATTCACCTATCACCATCCAACCTACCTTCTCCCTTCCCATTTCTGAAGAAGGGTCCCGACACGAAACGTCAGCTTTCCTGCTCCTCTGATGCTGCCAGGCCTGCTGCGTTCATCCAGCTCCATACTGTGTTGTTCCCAATTTCCATCTTGTTGTCTGCTCGGCCATAAAGTAATGGATTTCCCACTGTCCTCCTTGTAGATAGGTTATAGGCTTTCTAAACCTACCCCACCTTTAATTATTCACATTTGAATAATTAAACATGGTGGGTTGGTGGGCAGTGGGTTTAAGGGGTGTCAGCTAAAAGGTGTGAGGGAAGGCCACCATATTTATATACTCTCACTGTTGCAAACACGTCCAGTGGGGTCAAGTAGGACACAACTCCGTGGCTGAGCTGTGACAGAACATCATATATTTGCTTCTGACCCCCACTCCCACCAGCCCCATATCTTGTATTAACTATTCCTTGTTAGTTTATCAATCTGAAATACATCGATCTCAGGTTTAAATTTATCTGTCTATCACCTATCATTTGGGGAAGGGTTTCAGATGTATCCTACCCTTATCCTAGAGATGTGTTTCCTATCATCACTCCTGAAAGACCAGGCTCTAATTCTCAGGCTGTGTTCCCTCATCCTAGATTCTTTAACCAGCAGAATCCCTGAAAGAATTCCCTTCAATATCACGAAAACTTTGTCCAAATCAACCCTAAACTTTCTGAATTCTAGGATTTGCAACCTCATTTTTAAAAAAAATTCTCCTTGCAATTTAACTCATTGGAGTAATTCAATGTAATTTTAGCAAATCTTCTTTCCATTGCCTCAAATGTTAAAATATCCTTTATAGAGTGTAATGCCCAGAATTGACAGAATATTCTGGGTATGAGTGACAGCGCCCTCTGTGGAGAAGTTTAGAATCACACTGGGAGCAGCTTCTATGCTTCTGCGTCAGCTTTGTGTCAAATGTGGCATCCACAAGTTGTCAGTTTCAGAGCAGTAAAGACAGTGAACAACGCCAGTTTCATTGCCTGGCTACCACAAAAATCCAGACTAATGACTTGGTCAAGGTAGTGACTTACATGAAAAGAAGTGCTAAGCCATATCACCTATTGGCAACAGCCACTGAGCCAGAAAGAAGCTGTCAGGAAGAAGTCAGAACAAAACAAGTTGCAGACTCAAATTCTACTCCCAAGATCTGAGCATAAAATCTAGGCTGGTATTCTACTGCGGTGCAGAAGGATTGTTACACTGTCAAACATGCCGCCCTTCAGATGGGACATTAAACTGAAGCCCAACTCCCTTCTCAGGTGGACATGATTTGAAGGCGGCAGGAGAATTTTCTGGGCCAATGTTTATCCTTCAACCAGCATCATGAAAGCAGCTTACTTAACCATTTTCTGAGTACTGTTTCTGGAACTTTTATGAGCACACATTTTATACCATGTATTTAACTTTACAACAGTGGAAACACTTTAAAATACTTTATTGGTTGTGATGTGCAATGGGATGTCTTGAAATTATAACTATTGCAATATTAGTGCCAGACTTCTGTTTTTAAGCACAGCTTCAAACCCCTCTGATTTGTTAATGCTTACTACCAACTTAGAGGTCAGGGTTCTAAGCAATGATGTTATCTTGTCAATATTTGTAGTTAGTAAAATATTTAGTTATTAGTTATATTTCCAATAGTTTATGAAGTTACTGAAAGTTATTTTGATTCATTGATTTAATTAAGCTTTCGATAGCTTTTGGTTATTACACTGTGTTCCAATGAAGGTCTCCTTCAAAACTAATATCCTTCAGATAGTCCTGTTTTCAATAGTAGTAAAGTTTTCCCTGCTGTTCCAATGAATTGAATATTTTTCTCTTTGCCTTCATAGACCACTCCAGCTCAAGTGGCATCTCATCCTTCAAACCAAACAGATCTCTCATTACCATCCCCACAGCCCATGTCATGCCTTCCACCTCCAATTCCTCATCAGCTAGACCTGGATGTCAGGATGGAGATGCCTGTACTAAATGTAACATGACCTTGACACAGTCTGGCAAGCCAAAAAACCTTTCTACACCAAAAACTATTTTAGATATGAAGGATCCCAGACCTATCAGGAAATGGTCATCACTCTCCAAACTCATTGGTGCAGAGAAGGATAACCCTGAGTGTGGGGCTACTGGGAGTGTGGATTCTATAAACAATATGGAAGATCTATCAAACTGCAATGTGGAGCCAAATGCATATGGAGTAAATGTCCCAGACAATTTTACTACGTATCACAATTTGGAACATTTGAGGATCGAAGACACACAGAGTTGGGGCACATGTTCCAAAGAGCCCACCCAGAACCAGTCTTCAGTTTTTCATGGGCATTACAAATATGAGAACTTTTGTAGAGGTGCTGGGGACTCTTCTTTTCCAGCTACTACATCCAGCAAAAACCATTTAGATTTAAAGTTCAGTGCCTTACATGCTGACAAAACAACCTCAGCTGACTGGGATGCTTCTGGAAAAAGACACAGTTTTAAGTTGCTGGAGAATCAACCTGTTCGTGGCTCAACAGCTCCATCATGCTTGAGGACTCAGTTGTGGCTTAGTGACCAGATGCAAACCAATTCTCTTGACCTCAGACCTGCTGAAGGATCGTGTGATTTTCCTGTTTGTCAACATAAACAGCAGCCGGAACAGTTGAGACGAGAAACTGACCCAGTCCAGGTAAGCACTAAAAAAGGAAGTATTGCTCTATGGAGTTTTATGTCAAAAATGGTTCTGGGCTATATTGGAATCATAGTAATGATTGAGCACTCATCATCAGGAATTTATGTGTGAGAGGGTTTTTTAATGCTCAAAACAGCCATTTGATGAGTATTCAGTGGCCTATTTGTTCACAGAAACCCTCATTCAGTATTTGTGAAGGTGTCAGCAAATAAAATGAGCCCATTAAAATTCCCTTTGACATCTTTACTATTACTCAGCTCATTTGTGGACCAGACGCAGTGAAGGAGTATCTTTATCTCCTTAAAACAAATCAAAACAATCTTATTAGCCTTTGACCAGATAACTAATAATCACTGTATTGTCTTATTATAGACAACAGTTTTGTGGTGAGGGAAGACTTTGATTTCAGATGTTTTGTTTTGGCAAATACAAAAGGGAAAGTGTAATCAAAGAGAATATTTTGTGAGCCACTTTTTTAAAATGTAGAGGTTATAGGGAGATGACCATGTGTGAAGCAATAATTTCATCACATCACAGATTGGTGCCAAAATTATTTTCAGCGATCTTCATTCTTTCCTAGAGGCTAATGTATGCTAGTATGCAGTTCTACTGGTTTAAATACAGCTCTCTTGTACAGTGCCCACTTGACCTTGATGATGTTTGAGACCATCCAGTGGGTGTTCACAAGCTACACATCTGTGGAGAATATCTCAGGATTACTTGTTCCTGTCCTCACTTGAGTGTAGCTTTGAACAGAGGTCACGCAGAATTGAGAATCAAGGCCAGTTTCCTTCCATAGCCCAAGGGTCCTGAAGTCAATCATACAGTCCTTATGACTGCTTGTAATCAGGTTCAGCTTGGTGAGCTAAAGCTGGTGTCTATTCAGATATGTTCAAGAATCTGCATTGTTCAGTAACCACACACATGTGATGCATTTATGTACAGACACATTGGACAGCTACATATTTGTTACAAGTACTTTGTTACAGTTTCAATAAACGATTTAGTTTTCAGAACATCTGATGAGTCATTGTTCCATCATATGAGCCTCCTAAAAACAACCTGATGACCGTAACCAACATCCCAACAACCACCTTTAATCATAATCTATGTCCTTCGTTAGGACCTTAAATAATTTAAGGCCAGTTCCCAGTATGATACATACAACAATGAAAACACTTCAGCCAGAAGTAAAGAAAATACACTGAATGTTTTGTTCGAGTCGAAAATTCTGCCTGAAACTATCAGAAACAAGTAGATAGGCTGAAAGAGCCTGTGGCTGGTCACCAATAATCAACAGCAAAGAAAAATAATATTTGAAGAACTTGGGCCATATTTTCACTCCTGAGATGAGCAGCTTGAGTGAACTCTGAAGGCTCACTTCAGATGAAAATTGTCGAATAGTGTCATTTTGATTTTGGGGATGTGGTGTCAGAGTTAGATCCAGGAACTCAGAAAATAAATTGTAGTCAACCACGGCAGGGAGCAGGCAGGTGAGTGCCAAGGCAGGCTGGTTAGAAAGCTTGCCTCGATTCTTTGTGACTTTGTCCCAGTTGTAATAAGCCCATCTACTGTACAATTGAGGCATTCAAGAGGGCAATGGATGTTTATTTGGATCACAGTAATGTGCAAGGGGGATGGGGAGGAAAGCAGGAAATTGGCAGTAAGTAATTATATTCTTTTGAAGAGCTAATGCAGATACAATGGCCTGAACAGCCTCCTCCTGTGCCTTAGGACTTCTGATTCTGTGGCTTAGGCCCACCAGCCCTCATCCTTTACACCATCTCACTCCTTTCAGCCACTCCTCATAGCACCTCATGCACTCTGTGCCAATGAACCATAATGAGCCATCTTGATTTACACCAGTCCCCATTATGAATGCTAGGCTAGATGTCAAGACCAATGAAAACATGATCTCAGCAGGGAGTCAGTTTTGACCAAATAAGTTGACTTGCTGACTTTGCCTGATTGACACCTTTAAATAGTTGTAATAGTTGTTCCTTCTGTGATCTCTTTGGTCATTGTCTCAGTGTTTATTTTGACAGGTTAAGTAGTATGAAGTGTTTGTTTATTGATTCCTCATAACAATCTCTCTAATTGAGACTTTTATAGGGTTATTGGAACACCAGTTCATTTCCCAAAGCGTGTTTTTGAATGGGTTTGTGTTTACCTTAGCAATTCCACAGTTGCCATGGTTAATACATGTTTCATTGCTTCGGTACATACTGTATATATGATTGAATGGGAATGAAATGAGCATGAGTTGACATTGAGTTTGCATAAAGAGTATGAAAGACCATAGGAGTGCTTGTGGGGCATGAGCTGGCAGTATGCTGACATGGAGGCCAGATGGTTTTAGGGGGCATTAGGTGGCATTGAGTTGGAATGGAGGATATGGAGCCAATGGGGAGTGATTGGAGGCATCAATTGGCATGATGTTGGTATGGAGTGGACATGAGAATTGGCTAGGGAACATGAGTTAGATCTTATGAATTTACTTTCCCTAATTAGGTTCCCTAATCCAGATTATGGCTCATGATTCCTCTGGGGGTCTTTGAACTTTAAGCCATGGAGGAGTTCACCTAACTCTACAAAATCTGTTGGAGTGCCAGGAGGTGCCTACTGCTGCAATGGAGCTGGTTAGGTCTGGTGCAGAGTGCAAGTTCACTAGCCTCAGCACAATCCCATCCCTGTGGTGCTATGCGTGGGGTCAGTAATCCCAGAATCACTCTCAAGAATTCCTGCTCCCATGAAAATCTGGTCCATAGTGAAGGGTCAGATTGCACCACAGTTTAACACAGTGGCAGTGACCAATGTTACAATCACCGTCTAAGGATATGGGTAGGCCATTTAGGACGGAGATACGGAGACATTTCTTCACCCAGAATGTTGAACCCATGGAATTCTCTGCCACAGGAAGTATTTGAGACCAAAGCAATAAATGCTTTCAAGAAGGAGTTAGATACAGTTCTTAGGGCTAAGGGAATCAAAGGGTATAGGGAGAAAGCAGGAACAGAATACTGAGTTGGATGATCAGCCATCGTCATGTAGAACGGTGGAAAAGGTTGGAAGGGTTGAATAGCCTTCTCCTGCTCCTATTTTCGATGATGTTTCTATTATTTGACTTCCAAGGACAGATAATGATGGTGTGGCCATGTCAAAACAACAAGGATTCATCACTATTGTACATTTATCCATGAACTGATTAGTAGGTCGTTTTGACAGTTTATAGCTTAAGCATCACGATTTATTTGCAGTATTCTAAAATTGAGAAAGCATCTAGGAGGCAAGTAAACTGGCTACAATTCAGTAAGTAGTCTTTGATTCCTGGACTCGTTACAAATGATGGAAAAGGCCATCTCTGGTGGTATAACCTACTCAAGGGGTCTGAGACACTGAATTTGAAAGAAATAATTTATTAAAATTTCAACAGAAAGGGGTGGAATAAAAGGACAAAAAGTGTAATTTCCACAGGCAGCACAGTGAATTATTGTCAGCAGCATGAGGGCAGCGTAGATCAGGCCTTTATCTTTCTTATTTATATCACACAGATGAAAAACAACATTTAGATAAGTTACTAATATTTGAACGATGAATTTAAATTTTAATGTTGAGTAGGAATGAGATTGCCACAAAAGTTCTGTACTGAGTCAGGTGACATCCATATGATTTTTTTTTCCACATTGCCATCTGTTCTTAATTGTGACATTATTTTTGTGAAATGTGAAAAAGCTGCGGAGATGTTGTGATATAAATAACATTGTCATAGAAACCACAGGAATTATTTAAAAGCCAAAAAGTAGCACTTACAAATGGACATGTCGTTCACCGTGGTGGGCAGTGAGATTTCTCCTGTTCAGAAGCTCAATATTTAATCAATATCAACTACTTGCACATTAACTAGCTGCCATAATGAATGCACAGTAAGACACCTTAAAAGAAATGGTTTATTGGAAGAACACCATGGTCTCATTTGATGCACAAATTTTGTGTTTTCAATGATCTCATTAGCAATTACAGATTTTATTAAAATATTCACAGAAATAAACAAAGTGGCCAAAGGGAATTGAACTAAAGGACAGAAGGATGCAATCTACTCCTTTGTCCAATGCTGGTGCTAGCTCTCCAACTGGAGCAGTTGTAGGCTATCACTTGAAATGGACAGCTGGTAGTGGCACTGCCAGCTTGCACCCTGCATTCAGAAGCTGAACTTTTTGACGGCCTGGGGCTGCCAAATATGCATCTCGCTGCAGCTTTTGGCTGTGATATGGCTGGAAATCCCCCGCATGGTGCTGGCTGCTAGAGTTGGGGTGTATGTTAAAGGGAAGGGAGTAGAGATCCCATGAGGCTGGCTCTGCTTCTTCAGCCTCCATAAAAAGCAAAATGGCAAAATTACTTTGAAATATTGTGAGTGTTAGCAATAAGCGTATTAAAGCGTTTATGAAACTGCTCTCAGTATTTAATTAAACTGTTTAAAGGTTGATACGTTTGCTAAATTTCTGGGCAAAAAGCATGTTAATGAGTTTATTCCTGATTTCAGAGTGCACAGTGACAAACCAATAGCCTCCACTGCCTTTTTCAATGCATCCCTTTGTTTTACCATTCTGGAAATATGATAAATAAAAATGCATGGATGCCATTTGCGTATGAGGTTATTCTATATGAATATAAACATGCAGCCACATTGTTCCATATATAATTCCAAGAATAATAAAGCTCTGCAGTCACCTGTTGAGCAGGACATTTTTGCATCATCTTAAATGTAGTCCCATGGATGACTGGTTCATTTGACATGGATTGAGTTCATTGGATTAGTTTGCCATCTCAATGTTGGTCTTAATTCCAGGTAAAGGATCCTGAAATAGACATGGACTAGTGTCAGTTTCAATGTTCCTGGAGGTGACTGCTTATGAATAATCCTCAACGACCCCAGGATATTTAGGAATGGCAAGCAGCCTAGGTAATTGGAAGGCCTAATAGCAGGATCCACAACAATGTCCAACTGCTTGCTCCACTGGGAGATGTAGGAGCTGCTGAGGCAGGCAAGAGATTGCAAGGGTGCCGCAAAATGGAAGTTCCTTCTTAAGCATTGAGAAAAATGAAAACATTTCATCGCAACAGCTGACAGGCCACCTCAATGGAGGGGGAGCTCCTCCACAGGGTAGACTTAGGATTTGGCTGTGATTGTCACATTCCAGTAGCTGTGTAGTGGGTTGAGTAAGAGGAGTCAATGCTGTCCAGCCTGCAGCAAGTATGTTGCTTTGAGTTAAAGTCAGACATTGAGTCCCTGTCTACTATCAGGAAGACACCAACAGCACAATCAATGTGCCCCCATTTGGTCCATAGATGGATTTGTTTAGTTACCCTCTGCTGCTGGGCCTGTGGTCCCTACAGCATTAATGTAGCCTCCAACACTTCCTCAGAGATGAGAACATGCCAAACAGCTGATCGGATGTGCTATTTTGCAACTTTGTTCCCAGTCCTGTTTCTGAAATTCATCTCTGCAGGGCAAGGAATGTTTACTCCCTTAAATACACAATCTTGACAAATTTTATAAATATTAATTGACCCACAGTATGAGTAGCCAAAAGTGAAATAATTTATTGAACAGAGAAGCATGAGCTTAAATAATAAACATTTGCACATTGGTTGTTTCCAAACTTGAGTTGCTCAGTCAGATTACCCGTGGTGACAGATGCTCCATCTATTGTAGTTTGAACTTTCTGAGCATAGTTTTGAAAATGCTAGTTCCTTCCAAAGTGCTATGTGATATACTAATGTCACGGTGACACTGGTGACCAGGTTGACAAATCTTGGAAAGTATTGTACAGACGCTGGTACACTTTTAAGAATAAAATGAAGCTACAGGATAATTCCTTTAAATCCTCACATTTGGAGAAACAATTTGGATGCTGTGAGTGTATGTTATCTCTGCATCACAAAATGTATATGCCCTTGCTTTTTTAATCCACTCATACCACAGTGAGGAACCAACAATCTACTCTAGTTAATTCCTTAACATATAATCTTAGCCATAAAAGTTGAGCACCTCACAGTGCTGACACCAAGACATTCCAATGGCCTATTTTTAGTGCAGCCATTTATGAATACCTTGACTTTAGCAATAATGCTGCAAATTAAGTGAAGTATCAAAACTAAATGAGGCAGTGTCTAGAGGCTATCTCTTCTAGAGACAAAAAGGCATAATGTCAAATATAAATGCTGCCTGCCAATAATGATTAGTGTTGTGCCCTTCCAATCACTAGCTGATGTGCCTTTCCAACTAACAAAAGCTTTGCAAATCATAAGTTCACTTACAAAATGCAGTTTGTAAATTCACAAGATCAATTGTGCAAATGCTACTGATTTGTATCTCTGGTGCTCTGTCGCAGGAATTTACCTCACAATGTGAAGATTCACAGTACTGAATACCCCCAGGATCTTAAGTATTTTCCTTGTGTAGTAATTTTATAACGAAGAATGCTTACAGTAAAAATTTTTCATTTCTGTTGTATGATCTCTGGAGGCAACATACAAATACATAAAGAAAGCTAATAAGCATTCCACCCTCGGTTAGGTTTTCATGAGGAGATCATGGGTTAAATTCCTCAGTCTATTTTTGAACACATCATACGGCTGAAACTGTTTCCTCACCAGAGTGTAATTTGCATTGCATATTAAGAGAATTTGTTCAGGATGTGTTAACTTGAAATGCATTAAATTTAGTGAAACAAGCACAAAACTTGAATCTTCTTGAATGTGATATTCTTATGCCCTTTCAACATGTTCAAATGAGGCAATCGGTACAGACTCTAATTTGCAATTAGTTTGCATCTAAATTGTCTTAGTTACTGTTGGGGGAGCTTTGGCTTCAGAATGTCAGGATGATTAAAATCACAATCTGAAGTCCAAAGAAATGACATCATTCCACATTCGGCTTAAAATGTAGAAACACAGAGTATTGTTAAATGCAGTTGGAATTTACCTTCTGGTTGCTATTTGCTCCAAGTGAAAGTCACAGCTTGGATGTCAAAGGAATGACATAACTTAACTTTATATTCAGCTTAATGTGTGGAAACAAAGGATATGAGTAAATGTGTTCAGAGTTTACCTTCTGGTTGCTATTTACTCCAAACTGAATCCAGTGTGTTAGGTACTATCTACATTATAAATATTTTTCAGAATTAAGACTAGTTTGAAATCTACAGTGGAATAAATCTTCCTGACAAGGACCAACACTACCTTTGTCTCAAGCTATTTCACAAATGAAGAAAACATGGTATAGGACTGGACATCAGTCTGTGTTGGGGAGAAATTAAGACAGGTGACCATCAGATTTAGTCCAGAGCGGTAATTAGTAGTGCACAGAAATTTTCTTCCATCTTAACTGTATTGATATTATATTTCTGAATGTTGGGCTTGGAAATGTCACTAAGTTCTGATATTGAACAATGTGTACAGCCTTTGGATGTATAATGGTATCATTTTTCACCAATTTCAGCTTTTAACATTGCCTTGATACATTGAAGCGAGTACACACATTTGAATGGTGAGAGCCTATGAAATTCTTTACCACAGAAAACAGTTGAGGTCAAAATGTTGAATGTTTTCAAAAAGGAATTAGATATAGTCCTTGGGGCTACAGGTAACAAAAGCTATGAGGAGAAAACAGGAACAGGGTACTGAGTTGGGTGATAAGCCATGGTTATGCTGAATGGCAGAGCAGGCTTTAAGGGCCGAATGACCTACTCCTCCTCCTCTTTCTTAAGTCTATGAATGATACACTTAAGATCTACAAATGAAAACTTGCTCGTTATCGGCTAATATCCATCAATTTTGATTCCACATATTTTCAATAGTATAGCAAAACAATGTGCTTTTGGAATTATTGAGTATGTACGTTGAAAATAATCATACATTCAAACAGGTTTCGTTTGTCTTAAGTGGTTTGTCCAGACAGCAGTTGGAGCATTTTGAAAGAAGTAGTTATTGCAAAGGTCTTAGGGGAAATTGGAGACTCCAGTAGATCTTGGGTTCGTGGTTACATTTTGATTGGATTCTTCTTCCCAGATCCGAAAGCAACAGTAACTACACATGGTCTTCAGTACGTAGAATTCAGTAGATGAGAAAATCACATGAGTTTAACAATAATAAACATCAATAACAACATGACGATAATTAGAAGGAAATTCAGGATCAGGCTGAAACCTCGGTTGTTTGCCAGATAATCCATTCTGTCTGTTGTCTTGCACCAGTTTGCCCACAACCTTGATGATGTGCTGTGGATTAAGTTGTACCCCTCGTTAGGAACTACTGATGCTTTATTATTTCATTGTCTGAAGCAACTATGTTGCCATTTCCACCATCTTGTACTTTTCCATTTCCCTGTGAATAAATAAATAGTTGTGAGACTCTCTACAAGAGTGCAAAGGACATGCCCCTAAAATTCTACTGTCAATTGCCAGGTACCAAAGAAGGGCTTTATACTTATTTACAAATAATAATTACACCTCCAAATGTAACGTGCATTGATTATGTTTTTAAACCTCTGACAGTGTAGAAGTTTTTTTTTATATCACTGTTGTTGAGGAGATTGTTTTAGCTTGAAGCTGGTAATCAGTACAAGTTATTACTGTTGTGTATATGTGTTACAATTTGTTACACATTTATTAATGCCATTCTTTTATCTGATTTGTACGTACTTGAGAATTCAGAACCCTATTTAAATTCTTGCTCAGCTCTACCAATTAATCTTTTACATGAAATTGCTTTTCTTGCTCTCTCCCTCTCTCACGCTCCCTCCTTCTCCATCCCTCCCCAATCGTGTTTGGCTGAACAACATAATTAATTGATATAACTTTAACTACATGTAGGTTAAGCCTCCAGTTGAATACTTTTATTTTGGTGGAGAAAGTTTACCGAGGGTGGAAGGTTAATGCTTTCCAGACACTTGATCATTTGCTACCAAATAAAGTCATTTGGAAGGGATCATGTTTGAAGTGGAGGTAGTTTTCACTCTTCACAGGGAGCCATCCAAAAAACAATTTTACGCTTTATTTTTAAATGTGGATGGATCAAGATGTTGACCATTTAGGGTAAAGTGTAAAGTCTTCTTGTAGCAGAATAAATAGGAAGCATGCCATAATATGTAAAACATCCATTGTATGTCTGCTTTCCAATAATAATATACCATAAAATTACTTAGAGTTTATATGCAAATATGGTGTTGTAATTGACTCTGTTTCTGTTCTGTCAAGGTAATAAATGAATATGTTTTTCTTGTAATTCTGAATTCTTTAAAGAGTCTGCAACAACTCCTAGTCACAGGTTGAGGATAAATGATACACTCATAATAACACTCAGTTTTTTCCTGCAATATCTAAGATTAATTGGCACATAGGCTTTCCCTTGTCATTTCACAGACTACATTAGATGCAGGTTAACTGAGATCTTAAAATAAAATGCAGCTTTGATTTTTTTTTTGATGTCTCATTACATAACAATCCAACTGTGGGAACATCTGGATCTGAATTTTTGCTCAGACGAAAAGGATATTTGTCTCAGCGAAAATGGCAACAGAAGCATGAGACCAAAAGTCCCATCCCTGGACCTAGTTCCCAACAATTTTTTTAGTGTGGGATCTAATTTGCAAATCTGTGATTTATGAATACAGTTGCACATGTTTCAGTGCAACTGCCTAAGTCAGATCTAATTTCACTAGTTGAATGACCAAAACACAGCTTATACACTTTAAATCCAGTATGAGAAGGTCTGAAGCTTCTGCATCTCCTTAGAGAGTTAGGAGAGGTAAGGGATGCTTTTGGATGTGGTTCTGGGACACCTTTGGGAGAGATCAGGTGCTAGTTTGGAGAAGTAAGATGTTCTTTGGGGTTATTCAAAGCAGACATGAACATGTGTTAAAAAATGCAAAAACTCTTTGCAATTGTCAAGTTCATTGGAAATGTTATGGGAGGTATTTGAAATCTATTGCTCGCAGTATCAAAAGATCAGTGCTGATATTTCTCTCTATCTGTTAACATAAAGCCTGATGGCTAATGTTACAGAATGAGTGCCATATGACTGATTTCACAGCCTTTCATTATTGTAGTGGGATGCCAATCGGTTCACAGTTTGATTGACAGCTCCAAATGATTATAAACTCTTCAAAGGGGGAATATGAATTCTGATGCTGGTTTTTTTTATATAAGGGATTAAAGAAAACTCAATGAAGTGAAAGGATTTTATTAATTAGTGTTTTTTTAAATATCAATATACACTAAAGAATTTTATTTCATCTCATCATTGGTCCTGAGGTCTGCCCCCATGGTAGATGATAAGAGTTAGCAAAATAGGTAGAAGGGAAAACGGTGGTGAGTAGGGTCATGGGTTGTCATATGTTGGTGTGAAGATTATAAGGGGCCATGGTGTGAATGGAAATGGATGAGTTGACATGAGGTGGAATGAAGTTAGCATAGAGATTATAAAGGACCATGGGGATTGGCAGGGGGGCATAGGCTTGCATGGAGGCCATTAGGGGCAATATGGACAGCTCAGAAGTATATATTGGAATGGAGAGTATGAGGAGCCATGGTGATGAATAGTGAAATGAGATGGTGTGAATTGGCATGGATGGGTCGGGGCAGTCTATAGGGCTTCAGGGATGTGAGGGGGTGAAGAGTTGTTTTTAGTCTTATACTCTAGTCATATGTCTGACAAAGGACTAGAGCTCTGAGAGTGGTTTGTCAGTCTGCTTCTGTACCTGACTGCCACAATACTCATTGTCACCTACCACACCCCCACCAAAAGAAACTCTGACCCAGGGCACTTTTCCATAGTTCAGATTTGCAGAGCTGGGAATTGTCCTGACTCTACACCCATGGCATGATTAGGTCAATTGCAAGCTTAAAGGTTGAATAACAACATTAGATATAAGATTACTTATAAATGTAATTTAGTTGGAACTAATACATCATTACAACTGAACCAACTGATTTCTTTTATAACTATCTTGTTCATTTATATTTGAAGTATTTCAGATTACTTTTTCATTATATCATCAGAAAAGCATAGCCCTGCATTATGTGACACTAATGAAAAAGGTTATTTTGTAGAATTATGAAACTAGTATAACATTGTAAAGGTAGATATGCTGAGAAAGGTTTGTTTTTGTGTTACCATAAATCAGTGAACTTGAAGAATGAGAATGATACCAACCTGACAGATCAGCAACACTCTAAGATCAGTCTGTTGATTTGTCAATATGCTGTTTTCAGCCACATCCATAGAACATCGGGTAAGGACAGGCTTGAATTCAACTGTAAAGTTCCCTGTTGAAAGGCTGCTTGTACCCACATCTGAGCATTAACCACTGCTTTTAGAAGAGGGGTAAAGGAGGGAAGTTGTAATTATGTCACTTTGTTGACTAGTTAACTCTGATTTTTAACAACATAACTCTAGTATTTGGCTATTTGCATCTCTAAGAATTATAAAATGAGAATGGAGTAGAGAACAAAAGAAATATTGAGTTTTTTTTACTATTCAACTCAATCAGTGGATGGAGCAGAATCTTATGCTGGCAATGTGGGCCTTGGCTTGTCTTGGCTGGAGCCATGAGAAGATGTCTATGCTGCCCTCTCTGGAAAGCTGGACAAATCTTTTCAGGGCTACGTAAGGGCCTCAACCTGTTCAACTAGAATAAACACAGATCGGACGGAGCTTATCAACATGTGATATTCCTGACAGTAGAGAGAGGGGTGGGGCTACTTATTGGCTGTGACATGGGAGAGCCGGAGGTTTTGAACAGAGAGACCTCAGGGCTTAAACATTGTGCAGGGGATTGCAATGCGTGGCTGGCAGCTGCTGGCACTTGGAGGTCTGCTCCCAGCTGGTGCCCTTGGAACTATCCTTGCAGGTCACTTGAGGCAGGTTGGCATGGTCAAACATAGATCTTCCCCTGCCCTGAAGTTCGTTCCAACAGAGACACAAAGTAGGTGTCGTTACTGTATGCTATCACTCCAGCTTCCTGCCCGCTTCTTGTAGAAGTAGAAGGTCCTGCTGCTGTATCTGTGCTGCCTCTTAAAATTATAGAGGGAATTGCAATTGTGGCACCTTCCATTGTGGTGTAAAGAACTTTTGATGATGCAGGAAAGTTTAACCTCTTAAGCTGCATATTAATACAAGTAGAAGTGTTGGATTGCATCTGTCTTTGTGGCCTTAGTATTCTGAGCTAAATTTTTAAGTATGAGAGAGGATTCATTCTGCGAATTCACGTCAGCAACTATATTCATATCAGAATGGTTTCTGTGAAATTATTAACCATTCCAGTACAATTTATCTATTGTTTTTGTTAAAACATTTGCTTGATTATTAAAGCAAGTTTCCATGTGATTGCACTACAACTCTGCAATGACAACACTGGCATCTACCCATCAAATTGCCCAGATATGTCCTAGACACACAAGGCGGGACATGTCCTACCCGGCCAATGACCGCCCCATCGGTCTATTCTCGATCATCAGTAAAGTGATGGAAGATGTCTTCGACAGGACTGTCAAGCCGCACTCACTCAGCAATAACCTACTCAGTGACACCTAGTTTGGATTCCACCAGGTGACTCAGCTTGTGATCTTATTACAGCCTTGGTTCAAACATGAACAAAGAAACTGAATTCCAGAGGTGAGAGTGACAGCCCTTGACATAAAGGCTGCATTTGACTGAATGTGGCATCAGGGAGCCCTAGCAAAACTGGAATCAATGGATATCAAAGGTCAAAGTGCAATATTCAGCCTCATTCGTGACTCCTCAGATGCTGAAGCAGTCCATGTTCAAATGCAACAAGATCTGGACAATATCCAGGCTTGGGCTGATAAGTGGTAAGTAGCATTCATGCCACACAAATGCCAGGCAATGACCATCTCCAATAAGAGTCAATCTAACCACCACCCCTTGATATTCAATGGTGTTTCAATTACTGAATCCCCCACTATCAGCATCCTGGGGCTTGCCATCAACCAGAAACTTAACTGGGCTCACCACTTAAATACAATGTCTAGGAATACTGTGGTGGGTAACTCACCTGACTCCGCAAACCTGTCCATCATCTCCAAGGCACAAGTCAGGAGTGTGATGGAATACTCCCTGCTTGCCTGGATGGGTAAAGATCCAACAACACTCAAAAGCCACTCAGCATCCTGACTTGGAAGTATATTCCCATTCCTTCACTGTCGCTGAGTCAAAACCCTGGAATTCCCTCCTTAATGGCACTGTAGGTCAACATGGACTGCAGCACATGGACTGTAGCAGATCAAATACCACCTTCTCAGTAGTTGGTCACCCATGCACTTGTCAGTGTCAGTTGAAGTCAGAAATGGATGGATTGGAGGTTGTGTCAGGAATCACATTTTTGAGATTCTAGCCTCACCAACCAACCTATATCTGCCTTATCTTGAGGTTAAGGCTTACCCTGAGATGTTAAAACTTAGACTATTCTTACTGAGATAACAAGGTGTAGAGCTGGATGAACACAACAGGCCAAGCAGCATCAGAGGAGCAGGAAAGCTGACGTTTCAGGTCTGGACCCTTCTTCAGAAATGGGGGAGGGGAAGGGGGTTCTGAAATAAATAGGGAGAGAGGGGGAGACGGATAGAAGATGGATAGAGGAGAAGATAGGTGGAGAGGAGACAGACAGGTCAAAGAGGCGGGGATGGAGCCAGTAAAGGTGAGTGTAAGTGGGGAGTTAGGGAGGGGATAGGTCAGTCCAGGGAAGACGGACAGGTCAAGGGGGCGGGATGAGGTCAGTAGGTAGGAGATGGGACTGGGGCTTGAGGTGGGAGGAGGGGATAGGTGGGAGGAAGGACAGGTTAGGGAGCTGGGGACAAGCTGAGCTGGTTTTGGGATGCGTTTGGGAGAGGGGAGATTTTGAAGCTTGTGAAGTCCACATTGATACCATTGGGCTGCAGGGTTCCCAAGCGAAATATAAGGTGCTGTTCCTGCAACCTTCGGGTGGCAGCCCAATGGTATCAATGTGGACTTCACAAACTTCAAAATCTCCCCTCCCCCAACTGCATCCCAAAACCAGCCCAGCTTGTCCCCACCTCCCTAATCTGTCCTTCCTCCCACCTATCCCCTCCTACCACCTCAAGCCCCAGTGCCATCTCCTACCTACTAGCCTCATCCCACCCCCTTGACCTGTCCGTCCTCCCTGGACTGAC